GGTGACTTACACCTGTAGTCCCCATACTTCAGGAGGCTGAGGCAGGAGGACCACTTGAGCCCAGGAGTTTGAGACCAGTTTAGGCAATAGTTAGTGAGACTCCATCTCTACAAACAAATAAATAAATAAATAAATAAACCTTTGCATGATGGCATGCACCTATAGTCCAGCTACTCAGGAGGCTGAGGTGGGAGGATTGCTTGAACCTAGGAGTTCAAGGCTTCAGTGAACCATGATTGCACCACTGCACTCCAGCCTGGATGACACAGTGACATCCTGTCAAAAAGAAAAAATAGCAAAATCCAAAAAACCCCAGAACTCTGAGAAAATGAATTTCCATCGTTTAAGCCACCCAGTCTGGCATTTTTCTATGGTTGCCTAAACAGACAAATACAGTTGAAAAAGCTAAACATTATGTTTCTGAGACTTCTTTGAATCTATAATAGCCAAGCTGTAACAGCAGCTTTGATTGACACTCCGGGAAGCTCACCCATTTCCTCAGTTCTCTCAGTTATTCGGAAAGTCCTTTAATCCTTGTAATATATCTTTTATTCCTTAGGTCAGCTCAAGTGAATTCTATTCTCTGTCACTGACTAGAGTTAGTACACAGCTAAATTGCTAGGGAGGCTCTAGATTTGGGATTGAGGGCACACAGAGAAAGTGTGTGGGTTCCCTGGAGTGGCCAGCTTGCAGACAGAACTTCCAGCTGGAGGATGGCTATGTGGTGTGTGTAATCAGGCTGAGACTGGCGTCACAGGTCCAGCTTGGAACTGAATGAAGAGTGACGTTTGCCTTCTTACTATCTACTGTAGCGGTGAGCAAACTGTTCTGGGAAGATGGAGGAAAGAAGTCCTTGTTATGGCAGAAATTTGGCAACACTGTCACCTGTGCTAACATGTAGAAAATTAGAAATGCATCTAATCAACTCAAACATCTTGGTCAGGGGTTGGAAAATTCATTCTGTAAAAGGCTAGAGAGTAACTATTCCATGCTTGTGGGCCGCATGGTCTCTGCTGCAACCACTCAACTCCTCCACAGTAACTCAAATGCAGACATATGCAAGACTAGTATACAGGCATGGGTGCGTTCCAGTAAAACTTTATATATGAAAATGAGCAACCGGGAGCTGTGGCTCACACCTGTAATCCCAGCACTTTGGGAGGTGGAGGTGGGCGGATTATTTGAGGTTAGCAGTTTGAGACCAGCCTGGCCAACATGGTGAAACACAGTTTCTACTAAAATACAAAAATTAGCCAGGTGTGGTAGCGCATGCCTGTAATCCCAGCTACTTGGGAGGCTGAGGAGGGAGAATCACTTGAACCCAGGAGGCGGAGATTGCAGTGAGCCGAGATTGTGCCCCTGTTCTCCAGCCTAGGCAACAGAGTGAGACTCTGTCTCAAAAAAAAAGAGAAAGAGAGAGAGAGAGAGAAAGAAAGAAAGTAGAGAGAGAAAGAAAGAAAGAAAAGAAAGAAAGAAAGAAAGAAAGAAAGAAAGAAAGAAAGAAAGAAAGAAGAAAGAGAAAGAAAGAAAGAGAAAAAATGGGCATCCTGCCCACCAGCTGGCCTCTGTGCTCGCTAAGAGATTTCAAGGTAGAATATTAAGCATGCCACTTGGCTTCTTCTCATTGCCTATGGTAAAATGCAAGAGAAAAGGGATAACCTACAGAACCAAACCCTTGAATATATAGGAGCTAGAAACTGCTACATTGGAAACAATTTTTTTTTGCCACATCCCGGCCTCTCCAGATGGCTAATAATGTTAAAATTAAGAAATGGCTTCTGAGAAAAGATCAAATACTGGGCACTGCTAGGAAAAAGTGTTCTAAGTACGTGTCAGTAAGCTACGAAAGACCTGTGCAGGTCTTCAGAACACGTCTTGAAGAACGTCTGTGTTAAGCAGTGGGATACCAAAGATCCTGGACTAGAGCAACCACATAAGAGGGCCGAGGGAGAAAAGGGCTTATCTCATGACATTTGCGGGCATACCTTTTGTCTAACAGAGTGAATGATATATCAACACACCAAAAGCCTCGAGATTTCTGAAAGTATTCTGTCAGCATGGGCTGATAGGCACAGCGACAGTACAAAACAGCAAGAGGTCTTCAGAACCCCAAACTTCTACTGGCAGGAAGCAGACTGAGCAAACTACTCAGGCACAAATACGGGTTACTATCATCAAGATATCTAAATTTTGAGACCTTTCTGTTCTGGCTCATCTCTGACCACCATGCTCCTCCCACTAGATGCAAAACTGCTTGTTTTCAGAACCCGGATCACAGCCTGCTCTTCTGCACCTCTGTGTCTTACCCCCTGCCACCATGGCACTGCTCTGTCACTCCTACTCTTGCCTCCTCTCCTACCTCCCATCTATCTGTATAGCAAATGTCCCCTCCTTCTCTTCTCACCAGAAATATCATCTCACCAATTAGCCTCCATGGACTCTTCCCAGGAATACGTAAACCTTTTCTCCTCCCAGCTTGCAACCATGTATTCTACATGCCCAAAAGTTCTGAACCAATTGAGAAACCTGTTCAGAAACCAATTGAGACTGTCTGGCACAGGTATCAAAACGACCAGCTTTGTCACAGGTAAAGCTGGATTGGAGAGATAGCCTGGGGACGCAGGCCTCCTACTTCATCCCCATGCATTAGGCCAGCTGATTGATTGTCTCATTTCCATGGAAGAAAACCCTGCCAAAGAAATTGTACTGACCACATGCACAAGAAGCTGAGAGCAGGTAACAAATGCTCTGTGGGTGGGAAGATCTTAGAGAACTGAAGGGGGCCTAAACCACATAGGTTCAGTCTTTCCTGCCCCATCTCACCCATCATAGAAGTCAGTCTTCATGATCCTATAGATGGGTAAGGGGTAAGGATGGGGCCAATGAAATGAAGGGCAGAGGTTACCTTCTACTATTTCCAAGAAAGCAGTTCTTCTTTTATGGGGCTGTAGAAATGTGGGCAACAGGAAAGGATGACTTTCTTTTACATCTATAAGCTTCTTTTTTTTTTTTTTGAGACAGAGTCTTGTACTGTCACCTGGGGTTGGAGTGCAGTGACGCAATCTCAGCTCTCTTGCAACCTCCACCTCCCAGGTTCAAGCGATTCTCCTGCCTCAGGCTGCCAAGTAGCTGGGATTACAGGTGCCTGCCACCATACTTGGCTAATTTTTTGTATTTTTAGTAGAGACAAGATTTGGCCAGGCTGGTCTCAAACTCCTCACCTTGTGATCTGCCCGCCTCGGCCTCCCAAAGTGCTGGGATTATAGGCGTGAACCACCATGCCTGGCCTATAACCTTTTTGAAAAGCCATTTAATAAACATCTTTGGCTGAAGTCAAGAATAAATAAATGAGGCCAGACGCGGTGGCTCACGCCTGTAATCCTAACACTTTGAAAGGTCGGGGTGGGTGCATCACTTGAGGTCAGGAGTTCAAGACCAGCCTGGTGAACATGGTGAAAACCCATCTCTACTAAAAATACAAAAATTAGCTGGATTTGGTGGCAGGTGCCTGTAGTCCCAGCTACTTGGGAGGCTGAGGCAGGAGAATCCTTTGACCCTGGGAGGTGGAAGTTGCAGTGAGCCAAGATCATGCCACTGCACTCCAGCCTGGGAGACAGAGTGAGATTCCACCTCAGAAAAAAAAAAGTGAGACTCTGAGACTCTGTCTTAAAAAAAATGAATTTGTTCATTAGATTGTCTTATGGTATGTTGTATGGACATCTGTCATCCAGGCTAGCAGGTGAACGATGTGAACACGGCAATCTTGTCTCATTCTTACAATGACTAAATAAATTCTTAGGGTACGATGACTGGAGGACATTGAGGGCATGGGAAAGTATGGAAAATTTATCAGGCTTTTGTATTTTTAACTTTCATTTCCTTTGTTCTTTCATTCACTTATTAAACAAGTATTTTCTGTCTACTGCTGTTGACTCCTGGAGAGGGTCATCCTGGGCAGGAGTTTGTAGAGACTGCCCTGACTCCTGGCCTGCTGACACAGGGCACTAGAAGAGTGAGTTTTTGCCTTTCCTTAGCCACGGCTGCTTTCACCCATCAGTGTCAATAAGGATAATAGTTGAAACTGTGTTGATATGGGTCTCTTAAGTGTGTTTTCAGTTTCAAGTTATAGACAATGTATCTTACACTGCTTTAAACCATAAGAACTTTATTCTTCACTGAAGAAATGTTTAAAGCAAGCAGTTCTGTGACGGATGGAGCAGCTCGGTGATGCTGTCAAGGGCCCAGGCCATTTTCTTCCTTCCTCTGCATCATTCTCAGCATTTTGATGACATCTCCCCTTAGGCTTCTCATTTCTTGACTACAAAATGGCTGCAGCAACTCCTCCCATCACATTCTAAGACCATAGTGTTCAAAGCAGGAGGGGAAGGTGCAAAGGGGGCTTTATTTTCCACATGCCTCTCTCCTATCAAGGAGAAACATATTTTCAAAACCCCCCAGTAGATTTCCCCTTCTGTTTCGCTGGCCAGAACTTGATCACACGCCCACTGACTAGACCGATCACTGCCAAGGGGGAATGGAGGTGCTGTGATTAGCTGAGGCCAATTGTGTTTTCTCCTCTGGAACTGAGCAAGTTGCTGCCCAAATTGAATCGGTAAAAAGGGGAGACTGACAGTTGAATTAATAAACAACCCTCTTCCACAACAGACATGAGCAGAAAACAGCAGGAGAATCCTCTGGGCTGCAGTATCCACAAGCTCTTTGAAGGGCATGGGCCTGGGATGACCCCTTTATCTAAAACACAAATTCTTTCACCCATGACCTCACTCTTTTAGAGCACAAATGAAACGACCCCCACAGGGTTGACAAAAATGGCATGCTGGGTTCTGGACACAAATATAGTTATTTGTAATGAATGCATTCATCGGCTGCACTTTGGCACACTTCCTTCTTGCTAAAAGTCACTAGATAGTGACCATTTATATTCCCTTTGTTCCTATAGATAGGCTCTCTGACATTAGAATCCCTGTCTTTTGTTTAAGGATTGCTGAAGATGTTTTTCAGACCCCCAATTCCAGAAACCAGGTTGAAGATCCACACAGAGGCACAGAAGCAGCATGAGAACACAGCTTCTTCATTCCTGTGCCCCCAGCGATCTTTCCACTTCAGCCCACTCCAAAACCCTAAAAACCTGAACCCTAAGTGCCTTGGGGGCAGATGGATTTAACGTAGTCTCTCATCTTCTCAGTTGCTGACCCTACGATTAAACCTCTTTTCTCTGCTGCAACCCAAGATGTATTGTCTGGCTGTGTGCATCAAGCAACGGACCTCTTAGGGTTCACAACTTCTTACAAACTCATCCTGAGCTTTTCCTCAAGGGACACTTAATAGACTACCCTGGATGTGATTACTATGTGTTTCATTTGCGGTGCTTTTTTAGAAAAGTTATTATAATGTCAACCCCATGGAAAAAGAGGCTGGTGGACAGGGCAGCTGGAAGCCCTGCAGGCTGAATTTGGCCTCCGTGGGAGCCTCTGCTCCATATGGGCAGATTCCAACTGTGCTTCATTTGCACAGGTGACTGGCTCACCCTGCTTAAGAGTCAGAACATTCTGCAGAGCTTGCAGCTCCTTCACGCTTATCTTGACTACATAAGCGCCCCAGGACTTAACTAATGTAACACTTTCATTGTTCTACAAACCACCTCATCCATGCCTTTTTTCTTCTGATCTGCATTGTGCACACAACACCTACCAGGACAGCTGATGTTGGGAAAGACTGGTGTGTGAATAGGAAAATTACAGCATAATGTGGTAAATGATGCAACAGAAATTAAGAAAAATATTACTTTGCCCTCCTAGGGAGCAGGCTAACTCTTTACCTTTGAGAGCAAGGGAAACACTTTGGAAAACAGATCAACTGGCCTTTGAAGGATGAATGAGTTTGGTGGATGTTGGAAACAGATGCTTGGTGCCACAAAGAAAAATTAGCATTTAGACAAAGGATCTTTCAGCAACCCAATTTTTACTTCCTGGACTGCAGGAAGGGTACTCTCACTAGCCATCTTGCCACAAGAGTACAATGAACAAAGGAAAGCAGACATATTTATCCCTTATGCATTTGGGGTCGTTTTCACTGCTGTGTCTGATCTCCATTGGCTGGAGCCAGACCTCACAATCTAAAGTAAAACCCGATTGGCTACAACTTAGAACTTTTCTAAACAGGTAAAAGCAATGGCGAGCTGGGACATGCCTGTGAGCACATCCAGCACAGATATCTTGGTTAAAGTACAAGGACATAGAATGTACTACGTGCCTGTAAGCATGGCATGTCTAACAGCTACATAGGATAGGGCTTAACAAAGTTATTAGCACACTTATTCTTCAACATGAAAGAAAACTTTAAAGAGGAACTTTTTTACTTCCCACAGTGGGTTTTGTTTGTTTGTTTGTTTGGTTGGTTTCTTTTGATGGAGTCTCACTCTGTCTCTCAGGTTGGAGTGCAATGGCACAGTCTCAACTCACTGCAACCTCCACCTCCCAGGTTGAAGCAATTCTCCTGCCTCAGCCTCCTGAGTAGCTGGGATTACAGGTGTGCTCCACCATGCCCAGCTAGTTTTTAGTAGAGATGGGCTTTCCCTATGTTGACCAGGCTGGTTTCAACTCCTGACCTCAAATGAACTCCCCACCTTGCTCTCCCAAAGTGCTGGGATTACAGGCGTGAGCCACTACTCCCAGGCAAAGTTTGATGGCTTTATTGGGTGGAAAGACATATTAGGCAGAAGGAATAGTACCTGCATAGGAACAGAGTTCTATAAAGGTCAGTTGTTTGGAGAATGGTCAACAATTCAGGGCTTGCAGAAAACCTGATACCTATAGGTATGTTGAGCAGAAGGGAGAAGCAGGCAGGAGAAGTGGGTGAATAGACTGGAAGAGGCCACATTGTAATAGGTCACACAGACCAAGTTGAGGAATTGAATTTAAATCTATAGGTAATAGGAATTCAGTTCAATTCAATTGTTGTTTTTAAGTGTGACTGCTGAACTGGTAAGGAGAAAAACTAAACAGGAGACTTTTATAATAATTTAGGTAAGAGAGAAGGCGGTTCAGAACTAAGGCCTGTAATCCCAGCACTTTTAGAGGCTGAGGCAGGAGGATCGCTTGAGTCCAGAAGTTTGAAATCAGCCTGGTGCATGCCTGTAGTCCCAGTTACTTGGGAGGCTGAGTCAGGAGGATCATTTGAGCCCAGGAGGTGGAGGTTATAGTGAGCCAAGAGCACACCACTGCACTCCAGCCTGGGTGACAAGAGTGAAACCCTGTCTGAAAAAAAAAAAAAATCAGCCTGGGCATCATGGGAAGACCCCATCTCTACAAAAATTTTTAAAAAATTAGCCAAGCATGATGGTGTGCACCTGTTGTCCCAGCAACTTGGGAGGCTGAGGTGGGAAGATTGCCTGAGCTAGGGAGGTCAAGGCTGCAGTGAGCCAAGATCGTGCCACTGCACAGTAGCCTGTGTGACAGGGTGGGAACCTGTCTCAAAATAAATAAATAAATAAAATAATAAAAAGAACTAAAGTCATGGCAGAGTAGATGAGTAGCTGAGCGTGGATTTCAAATACATATTAATGGAGAAGTCACAGGATTTGGGGACTGATTCATTGTGGGAGGCAAGGGAAAGAAAGGAATTGGTGATGACTGCGATTTCTACCTTGGGAAACTAGCCGAGAGATTAAAAAAATGAGAAACCACAGGAAATGGCAACGTCGTTTATGTTTTTATTTTTGTTTTCCCCTCCACACACTCCTGACATGAAGTCCAGAGGCAGTGGCGGCTGGCCACAATGCACTTTTTGAATTCTGGGAGCGATGTAGCTTTCAAATGTAGAACTGGGAAAATATATGCAAACAATCCTGCAGAATGTCTCTCTGGCTCACATTTCCCAGTACAATACTTTTTGCTTTTTTATCATCCAAAACTTATACAACCTATGGGGCTTCTTTTGAGGGTGACGAAAATGTTATAAAGTTAGATACTAGTCCTAGTTGCACAAGTCTGGGAATATACAGAAAATCACTGAATTGTATGCTTTACAAGTAACTTTTTTTTTTTTTTGAGGCACAGTCTCACTCTGTTGGCCAAGCTGGAGTGCAGTGGCACAACCTCTGCTCACTGCAGCCTCCACCTCCCAGGCTCAAGCAATCTTCCTACCTCAGCCTCCCAAGTAGCTGGGACACAGGCATGAGCCACCACACCCAGGCTTGGGTACATTTTATGATGTGGGAATTATATCTCAATAAGGCAGTCATACAAATTTATAGGGTCAGCCAAGCGCCGTGACTCATGGCTGTAATCCCAGCACTTTGGGAGGCAGAGGCGAGAGGATGGCTTGAGCTCAAAAGTTTGAGACCAGCCTGGGCAATATGGCAAAACCCTGTCTCTACAAACAAACAAAAAAATAGCTGGGTGTAGTGGTGCATGCTTTTAGTCAGCTACTCGGGAGGCTGAGGTGGGAGGATCAATTGAGCCCAGGAGGCAGAGGTTGCAGTGAGCCATGATCACACCACTGCACTCCAGCCTGGGTGACAGAGCAAGACCTGTCTCAAAAAAAAAAAGTTTATAGGTATCTTACATTTATGTGGGAAAATACACATTTATATTTTAAAACTTTATACAACAGTTTTAACCAAATGACAGGCAGGAAGGTCTTGAGTTACATTCCAAATACAATTGGTGAAACATCGGAAATATTGTTGATGGTGCATTCTCAACAGTGGTGATATCGCCCCCAAGGTGACAAAAGCATTCTTCAGGGGGAACGTGAAAAAAATACTCTTTTCATGCATAAAACACAGACATGAATCATAGAAGACTTAAACAGTTATACAGTATATTTGTGGTGTGTTAAATGTTAAAAGAGTGGGAGTGGTTAATGAAAAAGGCCTGAAAAGATGGGGTGAGGATGACAGTGAAAAGCGGGTTGAGAAGCACTGCCATAGGTATTCTGAGGAGCACGTCATATGCCAGCAGACAACATACCCCATGTTGACACCGGGCAAGGAGGCTCATGCCTGTAATCCAGTGCTTTGGGAGGCTGAGGTGAGAGGATCACTTGAGCCCAGGGGTTCAAGACCAGCCTGGCAACTTACAAAAACATTTTTAAAATTAAAAAAAATAAACCAGGCATGGTGGCCACTCCTGAGTAGTCCCAGCTACTCAGGAGGCTGGGGTGCGAGGATCACCAGAGCCCAGTAGGTCAAGGCTGCAGTGAACTATGATCACACCACACTGCACTCTGGCCTAGGTGACAGAGTAAGACCCTGCCCACACCACCTCCCCCACCAAAATGCCCATGTTTTAAGATGAGCATGAGAGAGGCCATGTTACTGCCAACTAAACAGCTCTTTCTTAAGAATCGTATTGTTTGGCGATCACCAAGCAAAGTTTAAACATTTTATATTCTAACATTGTAAGTATTCATGTTCCTTTTATAGTTGAGTTAACACTTTAGGAGGTTATTTGGAGGTTTGGGGTTGAACTGCAATGCACTGTAATTTTCCCTACATAAAACAATGAGAAATAGGCTCCCGGTTAGCATTGGTACCCAGAACCTCTGATTATCAGGAATAAGTGTGTTTAAAGTTCCATCAGAAGAGAAAGAGAATATGGATTTAATGAGGACTTGGGGTGTAAATGGAAGAAGGTTCTCTGGGTGGAAAAAAAGCCAGGACTTCTGAAAATTTTATTGGCAGGTACCTCTGCAGGAATTTGATAAGAACCATGGAGCTTTGTGCTGGTTATTTTTAATTTGTTCCCTCCAGATGTATTCTCTGACCTTTTCTACGCCCAAGGAGGCTGATCTTTGCAGGCGGAGACTGAGCTTTATGGACTGTGTTACCCTGACTCCTTTCTCTGTGTTTGTTTTAGGCCAATGAGAAGCCTTGGCTGGAGATGGGAGGGGTGTGTCTGTTCACTGCCCCACTCTCAGCCAGTTGTGACTTGGCAGAGGCTCTGTGCTTCTACCCAAGTTCACACCTGCAGTTGGGTGGCCCCTATCTCAAGGCTGCAGTTCCCTGGGTTCTGCCAATGGCTCCCTCTCCATTCCCCTGCAGGCCTACAGGCAGAATGTCTTCACAACATTGCCAAGTCCTTGGTGCACTTTGGTGCACAACCCTGCTCACAGCTCTGTAAACAGTTCCGTAAACTGGCTTCTGTTACCCCTTTACATGGGAAGGGGTAATACAGGAAACTGCCTCTTGTCCATCTTTCAGTATGCCATCTGTTTCCTCTT